ACCCAGGTGCGGAGGAAGGGGACAAGCCCCTTCCACCACTAGACCAATTCTTTCAGAGCATGGAGATGATATCTTTTCGATGTCCACACATTTCAATCTCTTTATCCTCATCTTACCTAGATGATGATAATTATTAATCATTCCTTCTTATCATCTAGGAAAAAATAAATATACCATTACCATGATTGCGAGACTTTATTGCACAAGAACTATGAAAATCTAGAAGGTGTTGAATACTTTTTAAAGTTATTTTTATTTTTAATATATTAAAATAAAAATATAAAAAATTAATATTTTTAAATATTTTTAAAATACAAAAATAAACCGTTCATAATGCATCCCAACAAAAAAAATTATATTCCACCGTTAATGAAAACAATCTCAGAGAATATAAAAGTTGTATTGATAAATTTTTTGTATGATTATTCAAAATTCATAATTTTTTTTTAAAGAATTACATGATTAAATATATTTGTAATTAAGAATATTATAAAATAATATTTTTAATAATTTTTAATATTAATATATCAAAATCATAAAAAAATATCTTTTAAAAATATTAATATTAAAATAAAAAATTATTTAAGAAACCAGTACGGTAACAAAATGAAACGTGCGAGAACGGGCATGAAGTGGACAGGAGCCTAGAAGACTTGGTAAACTGGAACAGTCATGGGTGCCCACGTTTTTTACGCGTAATGACGTGATGGTCACCATAGTAGACAGCAACGTACCACCACGTCACCACCACCTGTCATTGTCTGCTTATCGTACTACTACCCTCCCTTCGTACTATCATAAGACCACTTTTAATTTTTTTTTCAGCATATAATTTTAATTTAATGCCGTGGCAACGGCTGCATTCAGTAGGGTTACTAAATTCCACCTCACCTATTGAGTTAAATCAACCTTCAGCTTAGCTTGAATTTTAAACTAAGTTAGGTGGAATGTGACCCGGGGTTATTGTTCAGATCAAAATTGGACTTGATTTGTTTTTATTTTTAAATAATATTATTTTTTTAAAAAAAATTAAAATTATATTATTTTAAATTAATTTAGATTAAATTTGATTAATATATCTAATTTGGATTTTGAACCAAGATAAGCTATATCAAATTTAATAATTTAATATTAAAAAATCAGATAATCACTCCAAGTATATGTTTGATATTATTATATCAAGTGCTTTTCAATTAAAAATATATTAAAATAATATTATTTTAGATTTTTTATTTATAATATTAACATTTCAAAACTATTAAAAAGTACATAAAAATATTAATTTAGCATTTGTTTGTTTTGCGTAAAATATTTTAAAATATTATAAGTAAATATATTTTTCAAGTCAAATATTAAAAAATATTTTACATGTAAAGTCTTTTGCATAAAATAAATATATTTGTTTTTATTTTTAAATAATATTATTTTTTAAAAAAATTTAAAATTATATTATTTTAAATTAAATTTGATTAATATATCTAACTTGATTTTGAATAGAAGCATAAGTTATATCAAGTTTCATAAATTTAATATTAAAAAATTAAATTTTCATTTCAAATATATGTTTGATATTATGATATTAAATATTTTTCAATTAAAAATATATCAAAATAATACTTTTTAAAATTTTTTTAATTTATAATATCAGCATATTAAAAGCATTAAAAAATATATAAAAATATCAATTTAGGATCTATTTGTTTCGGGTATAGTATTCTAAAATATTATATTTATATTTTTCAAGTTAAAAATTAAATTTTTTTTTACATATAAAGTATTTTACATAAAATAAATATATTTTTAAAATTTTTTTAAATAAAAAAATTAATTAAAAAAAAAAACAGAAGCTACCATCAAACGAACACTGAGAAAACAATCCAGTTAGCACTAGATAATGGGCTTGCGACATGTAGCAATTGATAAATTCTGGAAATTGCAGTGCTTCTGTAATTTTCAAAGGTATCCAAACTTAGTATTTCACCAATATTAACATTTAGAATCTCTTTAAAAATGATAAATAGATTTTTGCTATCTTGGAAACTATATACTAACGGTATGCACTAAATTTATCTTTACCCAATGCTAGCATAATTCTGCTAATATCATTATTCTTTCTTTCATAATATTTGATTATTGTTTCAAAATAAAAATAAATAAAAATATGAAAAATAAAAACATATTTAATTGTGGAAACAAACACAAAAATAAGTTTTTGCCTATTTTTAAAGACAATTTTTAGTCAATTATAGATCACTCTGGAAAATAAAAAATACAAAAACAGAGACAAAACCAAGTTATTTTTTTCTCATGAATATCCCTTTAAACGTTTTACAATTTCAGTCACTATCCTTACATTTAGTTTGAACCATAGGTTTTAATTAGCTTAATTTTTAAAATTCAATCTAAAAATTAGAAAATAAAAAACTATAAGAAATATGTTAAATCTTAACTAAAAATGATTAAGAGGTAGGGATTGAATGATGACCAAAAATATGTATATATTATAAAATCATTATCTTGCATTTTCAACTATGTTAGCTTTTTACTTTGTGTTGGTGCAAATATTTTATTTTATACATGATTTATTTATTTATTTATTTATTTATTAAATATATTTTAAGAAATGATTTAATGAACAAGTAAATCATAATTTAATTATCTTATATTTTTATCAATAAAGTATAATTTTTATGTTGATTAAAATTTATTTCTAACATGATTTTGATGAACGCAGAATTTATCTTTTTTTTGGTCTGTTGTATGGTCATTTTGATCTTATGACTAGAGTTACAAGATTAACCCAATTTAACTTTGGTTTTTTTTTTATTTCATCTTTTAATATTAGACTATTAGTTCTTGAACTTTCTAAATTTTTTTTCCTTTCCTTTCTTTAGAGTTTTTCTAGGTCGTGGGTTAGTTAGGTTAACTTGGATTTACTCATATTATCACTGTATAAATATCATTTTTTTTGTTATAAAAAAATTGACATGTTCTACAATGTAAAGCAAACTAAAAAATCTAGTATATTCTATTCATTATGATATCTTCAAATCACTCAAATAGATGTTAGTTATTCAAAATTCTATTTTTAATGACTCTCTAACTTTTCTCCTTTGTTTGTGTGACTTTTGAAGTGTTTCAATGGATTATCTCATAGTTTCCAAGACTATTATTAATCACTTATTTAATAATATCATTAATCATTTAAAATAAATGGGAAGTCATTAATAACATCATTAATCACTTAAAATAAATGGTAAATCCCTTGACATCAAATTACACATAGAGTGAAGATAAAAAAAACAAGCTATTCTTGCCTTTAATTTTCATCATAAAAGAAGATCATATTAGTTGTCACAATAGAATATTGAAAAATGCAAACGAAAACAATTATATTGGTAAGTTGTTGTGATTTTACTGAGAAACTATTCCATCGTTATATCTTTTAATATATACCAATGAAAATTGTCTGTTGGTGTATGCCAAGAGAATTATAGTTGAAAAAAATATAAAACAAATGACGTGTCATTTTACAGATGATATTACTCATGAGATAAAGTTGTCACTAATATTCATCCCTAAATCCATTGGTAAGATTTAAGTTATGACATGACAAGAAAACCCCTCTTCTCCTCTTCAATTTCTTCTTCTTCTTCTTCTCCTCTGCAGATAACAACAAACCCTTATATTTTATCACAAATCACACTTACATCACCACAAATCCAACCACCGTAGTACTTAGTTTATCAACATCTTTGTTGTGGTTCAATTTTTTAGGATTTCTCACATCAAGTGATAAAAAATATCTATTTTTTATTCTAGCTTATTTTAAAATATTAATTTTTATGGTATTTTGATGTAGTATATGTAGTTTATTTATGTGTTTACTTGTTTCATAACTTTATTTTCTTAGAAATTTGTTGCATGAATGTATGATTTGTATATGTTAGAGTTTATTTGAAATTTTAAAAAATTATATTTTTTATAATTTGATTTCGATTTCATGGCTTAGGAGTTTTGTAATGAACTAAATAATGAATTTTTTAATAGGTACATTTCATATTTTATCAATTTTATTGTTAAATTCATAATTTCAATAAATGAGGAGAAATTTTATTTTTTTATATAAAAAATTAATAATAATTTAAGAATACTATTAAAATAGATTGAATAAATTTGAGTTAAACCAATATTCTATATAAATTTGAAATAAATAATGAATGATTATTTTTTTATATATATAATTTTAGCAAAGGGTGCACATGATGGATTATTGTAATGGGGTTGAGAGTTTTATTAATTACATACTATTTAATATAAGAAATATTAGTGAAGATGATATTAAATATCTATGTAGGAGATATACAAATATTTTTTTTTGATTCAGTTGTTGTTACAATGTAGTTTTTATAGAAATAGTTAATGAATAAATACTTGTATTGGTTTGTATATAGAGAATTATATGTAAGGTTATAAATAATAATAATAATCCTTATAAGTATAGTTATAAATATCATGAGAATGAATCAGGATTATAGAGATAAATGTTCAGTTATAGTTGAAGAATCAAATGCAGACACAACTATTTTTTTTTTATCTTTTAAAAGATTCCAACAAACCATTATGAGATAACAAACCATTATGAGATTAGTGTACAAATCATAATAAATTATCGATCATTGTATATGTACTTACTATCAAGTCAGATCATGGATTAAATGAAACTAGTTATGATAAAATCATTAAATGAACAAGAAACACTTTTCTTAAAGAGAATAAATTGAAAAAAAAATTATATAGTTAAATACATAATAAAACCCTTTAACCTAAATTACTAGAAAATTAATGCGTCAAAACCTCTGCATGTTATGCTATTTAAGAAAACAAATCATCCACGAAGACTGCCTATACTAACTTTCTGTCATATATGATATAAGTGATTATTCCTGTTTCAAAGAAATAGAGAAGAACTAATTATAGAAAACAATCATTTTGCAAACTAAAGTAGAATTAAATAAACTCTACGATTTTTTTTTCACATTAATTATAAGTTTCAAACTCATATGATATATGTACGTACATCGATCGATCACTCATATATATATATATAAATTCAAAGTGATACATAAAATTCTAATTTTGTTTTATTAATTTCACCATTTCTCAATCCGATTCTGGTTGAATCTCCCAGAGATAGCAGCTGCTAGTGCAGCTGTAAAATTCGGATCTCTTGTCAAAGAAGACGCCATTTGTTGGACCAAAATTTTTTGAAGTGCGGGCACTTCCATTTCTTGAACAGTCTTTGTAGCCCTATCTCCATGCCTTCCACTTTGGATCAAATCAAGGGTCACAGTAGGAGCTGAACTTCTGATCGGTGATTGTGTGGGAATTGGACCAAAATTAGAACCGTGGCTCGAGCCTAGTGATGGTTCATGTTGAGAATGGCTAGCGTGGTTGTGCTCTCCTTCGTAAGTTGCTACCAAAATAGAAGGGTCTTCAGCACTTCTTTGGACCTGAAAAAACCAAGTAAAATCTCTCGTAAGAAATCTCAAATATCCCTCCAATCATGAGCAATAATCATAATAGAAAGCAAATTGAAGAGGAGGTGAAAGCACTGTATTGTTTTAATTATATATAATTACCTTCTTCTTGACAGGGCAACCTGGGGCAAATGAGCACTTGAAGTAAGCCCTAGGGGAAGGATTGTCTCTGGTGACCTTTTGGCCATATTTTCTCCATTGATATCCATCCTTCACAACCTAAACATAAACCAAGTTTATTCATATTAGAAGGAAGGCTAATTAAAGCCCTAATAGACATCTTGATTCTTACACAAAATTAACCACATCATTAGCAACAAGATGTTGATTGATCAAGGAACTTACCAAGCTTGCATCGGATTCACAAGTCCTAAAATAAGTCCTTGAAATCTTTGATTTCAGATTCTCCTTTGGCCTTTTACTTGACTCTTCATCAATAGAACTGCTCTCTGCATTTCCTCCACTGATTCCATTAATCACGATGCTATAATCTTCACTCTCAGCCTTTCTCTTCCGTGATGATATTGGTGTAACGAGTTCTTTTGCAGAATTCTTGCTCACCAAATCAGCTAAATGTTTTTGCAAACCCATATAGTTATCGCAAACAACACCAAGCATTTCTGTCAACTTCTTGTTCTCACTACTTATCCGAGTCAACTCTTCAACAAGAACACCAACACCATCCTGTGAATGATAAAAAAAAAAAAGTTTCTGATTTAGTTTACTTGTTTGGAGGATGAAAGATCAGATGACAGTAATCCAGAAGCAAAAGTGATAGAAACTAATGACCTCATTTTTAACTTGTAATTTCTGTTCAACCCGAGTAGAATATCCCTCGAATTTCTTGATTTTCTGATTCAAAACAGAATGATAAAAATCCTTTTAGCGCATATATACACATGACAATCATATATCAAGACCAAGAAAAACCGGGAAAGATCGAAGAACGGAGAGCTGAATATCCAATAAGGATCGATATCCTTTAAATATATATACTGTATGAAAAAGAAGAAGAAGAACTCACCTGAACTTGAGTGATTTCATTGACATGCTTGAAGGGATTGATGTTGAGATCAAGAGAAGTGTTCACCCATGACGAGTCCATTGATGAATTAGTTATGAATCTCTTTCTTGAAGAAGCTAGCTCTAAGTATATTTATACAAACTTAGTGCAGGAGAAATTAGAATTTGATACAAGATAACTGGCTAGCTAGCTGGCAGGCGAGCGTGGTCTGAATTTGGTCAAGTGAATGAGAGAAACACGCAAGAATGATCAATATTTATAGAAAAAGTTGGCTTGTCAATCAATGGCTTGGCTTGTAAGGAAAGTCCCGGGAAGCAGCAGGTGATAAACAAGCAGACAAAAAAGTGGGAAAGCCACGAGAAAGTCATGGTTTTCGTCCTCACAAGTTGAATATATATTTTGAATTCTTCTGTGGCATGTCGACGTCAAGTACTGTGGCCCAGGTAATGAATTGAAGAAGCCAATTCAAGTTGGAATTTCCTGAACATGGAGAAGCTTAACGGTGGACTTTGAGCTCCTCGCCCCCCTAACCTAATTTCCATGTTCTTTCATTTTCTTATTAATAAGTTAATGACAATACTTATACTAATTAATGGCTCAATAATACAAGAACTAAATGATGATGCAAAATTATGATATGATGATTCCGAGATCAATTCTGGCATTTGTTCAATGGGAAAATCGAGGGTTGAATGTCTAGATTCCTACTCCAATAAATATATAGGTAATTATAAATTAAAAAAACGTTCAGAAATGTATTACAATATTCGTTTGTATTAGTATATTCAAATAATTAAAAAAACATTAATTTAAAAAATTATATTTTTAAAAGGCACCACTTACGTAATTGAAGACGCAATATAAAAAAAAAAGTAGTTAGAAAAACTCCATTTCAATGTGTGAAATTAAACTCATCCGAAAATATTTTGTATTTAATTTTTCACCCAAGAAATGAAAAGAAAAACAGAAAAAAGAGAGGTTCAAATTTATTTCCATATTATCTTTTCGGGTCTTGTTTATATTTGACTGAAAAAGTAGAAGGAAAGCAGACGCGGATTGAAATGATTGGACTGCCGGCTTTCAATTTATGTTTTTTGACTTTTTGCTTGAATTTATTGGGCTTGATTCCCAGCCTGACACTCTTTTATTCTTTGACACTGCTAGAACCTCCACTATTTTCGTCGCCCATGGCAGATTTTGATAACTATTTAGTTTTTATTTTTATTTTTCTGATTTTGTATTGTTTAAATTATTGAGATTAAAAATAAATTTTAAAAAGTAAGATAATATTATTTTAATATATTTTTAAATAAAAAATCATTTTAAAAATTATTCTTATTACAACTTTAATATTATCTTACTCATGGAATGCCAGGATAAAACTATGATATATCTAAATAGCTAAACTAATTAGTAGATTTTTAGCATTTGGCAGCTTGTATCTTTTGTAGAGTTTGATTAAAATTGTAGTTTTACATTTCGTTTTATTTAGAAATATATTAAAATAATATTTTTTTTTAATTTTTAAAAATTAATATATCAAAATAATTCAAAAACATAAAAATTTTAAATTTTAATAATTTTTTAAAAAATATGATTTAGATCACATTTCCAAACAGTCGTGTATTTTAGCTAGCAAATATAACGTGTCTTCGATATTTTTATAATAGTAATATTAAAGTGTTTTATTTTTAAAAATATATTAAAATTATATATTTTTTTATTTTAAAAAATTATTTTTGATATTAGTATATTAGTATGATCTCGAAAAATAAAAAAAATTAATTTAAAATAAAAAATAATTTTTTTAAAACCATTTTTAAAATATAAAAGCAAAATATCTCCTTACGATGAATATGGTGGGAGAAATATAATAGGACTTCGAATGATTTCATTGCTACATATGGCTGACGTCTCTTCCATACATTGTAATTAAAACAAATTTCTTATAGGATGCCACCAAATCATCATACAAATCATTAATATTAATTAATATTCACTGAAGATTATAAACCATATTAGATTGTTTCATCTTATTTTCATATTATTGTAGTCCTTCGATTGCTATTGGAATTTTTTATTTTAGAATTTCAACAGTGACATCGTTTCTTATTTGACATGTTGTCATTTTTTATTTTATTTTTAATTTCATAGCTACTTTACTTTTGTTTTATACTGTTAACTTATTCAGTGGAACTCAACAAGATTTTTATCATTATTAATATAAGGTATTTACATACTTTTATGTTTACCAATTCTAAGAAAGGGCTAGTTTTTTCTTTTTCATATATAAAAAATATATTAAGTAGCTATTATAGCCATTAAAAACATGACTTCACTAAGAAATGAAAACAGAAATATTCAAACAAATCAGAAAACTTACTTATATAATAACGTCCCTAAAAACAAAAAAAAAAATTTATAATAAAAAAGGTTCAACTATAGTTTTAAAACCCGACTCAGCTTGACGGGTCGACCCGGGACCCGACCGACTTGAGATTAGAACCGGGCCGAGTTGAAAAAAAATCTGATATGACCCGGCTGATCTAATGGGTTGACTCGTCAAAAATAAGTTATAACCTGTTAACTTTAGTTTTTTTAGTAAAATAAAGTTGTTTTAATTTTTAAATTTTTTTTGCCTCAAACAATCTAACTAAAACTTAGAAACCCGGTCAAAATCTAAAATTCAGGCCTTGTATTAATCGGGTCTAAAATCTATAGCTAAAATAGCTTGTACAAGAGCCAAATAAAACAATACAAATAAGATTAGCTTAGCACTCCGCGAGGATGACATGCACAAATAGATAAATGATCCAAGAAAAAGGGTAATTATTGAGATGTTGATATGTTTAAGGAAGTTCTGTTAAGGTTGCTTGAAAATAAAATCGATCGGGGCAAATTAATAACAATTAGTTAATACAAAGAAGGGTGTCCTTCAACATGAACAAAAAGGCACAGGAAGCAAATTCTAATTAATTTTTGATGGTGGACTCTATATAAAGATATATAAATAAAAGTCTTTTATATATACACACACTAAAGGGGTTTGTCGAATACAATGAGTATCTAGGAGTTGAATTTTTTTATATATTTATATCATATTTATTATTTATAAATTAAAAAAATAAATATTCATATCTTATTTATCAAGTTTTGAATATATTTTACTTATTAAGTTTTGAATATTTATATGGATATTCATCATCTGATTATTATTTATCTTTTAATAAAACATAAAATTGTAATATTTATATTTGAAATATTATACATATCTTGTGTGTGGGTGTTATAATTAATTAATTATCACAAAGGAGGGTGTCATTCAACATGTACAAAAAGGCAATAAGCAGATTTTAATTAGTTGTTGATGGTGTACTATATATAAACATAAATAACAAAATCTCATGTGTTATTTAATATATATCCTAGTATTCTAAAGGGTCTCTTCTTGTCTACTTAATCCCTATTAATTAAATATCATGAAAAATTAACAAATATCATAAATACGTGAAAGAATATTATATCTTGCATCTTGTATACCACAAGAGCTTAAACTACACACGAATTTATAAATATAAATATGTTTAAAAAATATTAAAGCTTGCATTTTCGTTTGAACGCACAAATAAACTCATATTTTAGTTATAAGAGGACAAAAATGATACCATTTGAATTTATGATTACAAAATTAGAATGATATGATTTAAATTCATGATACCGTGTCCTTAATTAAAAATTAAAAGCTCTTATATTATTTTAAAAATAACGTCTCATTTCAAAAATTTAAAATGATTTTGTATTTATATTTAATAATTTGAATATTATATTTTGCTGTTTCTATTTTTAATTCAAACATATTTTACACCCTTTGTACATCAACCAAAGTTTTTTTTCTTTATTCTTATTGTTATAATTCATTTTTAGATTATTCCCTCAAAATTTATTTTTTTCTTTCCGCATAAAAAGATAAATAATAATAAAAAAAAACTAGTGATTTGACAAAAACAAGCTAAGAAGAATTTCAAATGTATATAGAAGATTCTTACTGCAATTTTAGATGGAATTAAAAGCATAATCATACCCCATTTATTTAAAATTGGAGAGACAGTGCGAATTTAATATCAAATTAAATGATTATTGAATGAATTTACATAAAAATTAAGCCCAATAACATAATTAGATTTTTAATATGCCAATTTGATTTAATCAAAGGCTAAATTAAAAGCTTAATTGTATTTAAGAATTAATTTGATCAAATTAAATGATTTAATTAAGTGAAATGACTTAATTATATCTTAAATAAGTCAAGCTGTAGACTTGCATGTAAGATACAGACTTGATATTAATACTTGGTTTTCTTTGAATTTTTTTTTAAAAAATAAAAAAAATTATTTTTCTCTTTCCAAAAAACACAAAAAAAAAATGTTTTGTCTTTGTGCATACATCAAATTCTAAAAGTTTTTTATGTATATTTTTTAAAGAAAGATAAAATCATTTTTATCATGTTTGAAAAAAGAATGCAAAAAAGATATTGCAACTAATTTATAATTATCCATTAGGGTTTAGCCAAAATACATAAAATACCATTATAATTAGTTTGTCATTCATAATGCTCAAATAAATAAGTCTAGTTCCTTGAATGATTAAGTTTTAACCCAATAATATAAATATTTATTTACAAAAAAAAGATTTACCTTGAACTTTAGATAAGGTTAATGGACAAAAATACAACTTAAAATAACAATAAAATAATAATATAACCATTATAATTAGTTTGTCATTCATAATGCTGAAATAAATAAGTCTAGTCCCTTGAATGATTAAGTTTTAACCCAATAAGATTAATGGACAAAAATACAACTTAGAATAACAATAAAATAATAATATAATTTATTTTAAGTAGGATGTATTGGAAATAACCTGTTTTTTCTTTTACAACCAGTCAAAAATTAGTAGAATTTTTAGTAATTATAATATCAAATAATAACTCCTGAACATTATAATTATAATTTTATAATTAAATTTAAAATCTCTTTCCAACATATATTGGGGGGAGATTGGTCAACTCACACCAGGCATGTCACATGACATATAGTTAACTAATTATAAGAAAAATGAAAATAATGCCTCTCTATTTAAACGAATAATAAACTTGAACCATGTGGTGACAGGCTCCTTTTTTGCGAAAAAAGAGAGAGGAGTAACTCATATTTTGCTAAATAGTTGACAGAATTCGTAATGGA